AATATTTGTGCATTTCACACAAGTGGTAATCTTCAATAGGTTATTTACCTTAGAGTTTATAAAACCAGAGCTGCGAAAGTGGATTCTTGTTTTGTTTTTTAATTGTAATATATTAACACTTCACTTCTTGAATCTTTGAGTGGGCGTATTTGCGTGTGTTTTATTATTTTTTTAATTTTTGATTACAGCTTGATTCCACACCGTATTTCTTGGTACATGTATGGAATTTTCAGCATGTGATATCGGTAGCCCGAATTTTGCAGGCCGTCGGCAGGGGATAGAACCCCGGACCATGTGCATGGTCGGCGAGAGTCCTAGCAACACTGTGCCACCGACGCACGATCTGCTTTCTAAGACGACTAAACAATTCCTAAATATCACCATTTTCATTTTGCACCATTTATATAATTGTAATAATAATAATAATAGTAATTATTATTGAAAACTATGGGAAATCATCTATAAACCTTGAACTCAATTTCTCTACCTCTGTCTCAAAAACATCCAAAATCTAGTTAAACCATCGTTACTAAAATCACTACTGAACTACTTAAGACCCTTCACTTAGTTACTATATTAGTATCATATGTCGAAATGTTTTAACAAGCAACGACAAATAATCAAGATATTAGGTGTTACCTGACAGTTAGTTTAGCATGATCGTCCTAACACGCAGCTGAATAAAGCCAATATGATAGGATGTCACTTTAACACTCTTTTTTAATATGCTTCTTACAGTTTGCCCATCATTTGGTGAACGCTATACCATATAAATGTGTGCATCGGTGGCACAGAGGTGGGATGCTCACCGACCACGCCTCATGTGGTCCGCAGTTCGATCCCCGGCCACCGACGCACTCCTTTACCTCGCTAGGCCAGTAATAAAACTGGTAAAGAGGGAAGGTTTGGCATAAGGTAAGGAACCTCATCGTGTAAGAATAAATATCACTGCTAGTGGAACTCCAAGCCTCTAGCTTGAGACCCTGTGGTCTAATGGGAGCGTAAAGGAATAAAAAAACAACCATATAAATGAATACTGCTCTGTGATATTGATTAGTGACTACATCACATGATGTACAAAATTTGCTGTTACAAACCACTGTTCCATTCCTACGCAGAAATGGTTTTATTCACTAAAAATAGCCCGATTACCTTTTGGATAGCCCAGTTCACGTATTACTTTAGAGTGAAAAGGAATATGTATGTCTTTGATTTCTTTGTGCTCCTAGGAGAACACTGGACTTTGAGCATTCATTAGCTGTGAAGTTTCAATAGCCGAGGTGTTGTTTTGTTTATACAGTGTGAGGTTGTGTCCAAGTTTCCATCTATATCGGGTTTAATACCTACAGAGAAGGAATATAAAGGCTAATTTTATTTGATAGTAGACCTTTATAGTCTGAGGGTCTTGCATCAGAAATGAAAACTGAAGAAGTATATTTATATTCATTGCCTACTGGGAAGCTGGTTGCTTAAATTTCTCAGCTTCTTGATAATTTCTCACTCAATCCCCGAGTTGATTTAAAGCCTAGGCCAGTGGATTTTTCATCTGCCTTAAAATAGATGCAACATTTTGTTTCATTTTGCAACCCGCAAAATGTTTCACTGTTATTTCATGTAAGTGCATTAATATTTTTAAGAAAAGACAGCAAAAGGTACATACTGCTTTTAAGTTTTGATGTACCCCTTTGACTAATATTCATTATTAAGTAAAATCTATAATTTTATATTGATCTAATCGACAAATAGGAACTACATTTGCTGATGCGATACTGATATAAAGAAGTTATTCATACCTGTACTTAAATTCCTAGACATCGAACAAAATCCCTAGTCGAAGATTCATTGACTGCAAAAACAGAAAAGCAAAACTTTTAAAAACTTTTGCAACATTTCAACTTGACGCACTGATTGCAGTTTCCAAACGTCAACTTAACATGAGAATTTCAAAGTCTATTCTAAGACATCTAATACATGCAGTTTTAGATTGTAGCGTGAAAAGAAAAGAAGATAGGAAGTTAAACAATAGTGTTTAAAGGAAAACCACACATTCAAACATATGTTTGGACTTCCGATCATCCCATGCTATGTCAGTGAAAAAAAAGGATTGGCGAAATGCTTAAGTGACGATAGGGCAGTAAAACTAAGAAGTGCAAAGGAAAATCTAAGACAGGAAGTGGAAAATATAAGAGAAGCCTTGAAACTTAATAATTACCCTGATAAATTAGTAAAGAAATATGTAAGGAAATGTAAAAATAAAATAAATAATGTTAGTAATGATAGTGATAATAATAATAATGACGACATGCATGTCAAATATGCGCAAGACAAAATCAACAATAAGGAATCTAAATCATCACTAGTAATTCCATACAAGGAAGGAACCTCAGAAACCTTACGCAGAATTCTCAACAAGGTAGGAGTAAAAGTGGCTGGCATTCAATTACACAAAGCTCAGTTAGAAACATGCTCTGTTGGTTGAAGGATCCAGTGAAGCCTTTACAACAAAACAATTTAGTTTACGTAATACCCTGCAGGAATGATTGTCAGGTCAAATACGTAGGTCAAACTAGTAGAACAGGGGCAGTCTGTCAGTCATACTAGCGGAGCACAGAAACCAAGCAGCAAAATCTAGATTAGTTGACCTCAATAAGATAAGAATTTTAGAGAATAGTTCAGCTAAACCACTCACTGCATGCAATTACACACAACCATACAATATAGGATGGATAAGATAAGATGACAGTTTTAAAATCTAATGTAACAGCTGGGTGAAGGGAGAGATTGATAACAGAAGCTTTGTTTATCGAACCAACTGAGAGAGAATACGTGTAATAGGAATGATTCAACACTTGTGCAGCCTGATATCTGGAAAATTCTACTACACCAACGACGACAAATAGGAGAGAGAGAGAACAGAGAAAACTATAAAACTCAAGTTTCGAAGTCGTATGATTATAATTGATGAAATGATCATAAACAATAAGTGAATTGTGTTCGAAACATTGTCATCCAGTAAATAATAGTGTTCCACTCACTGTGTGAACAAGCTAATATGGAATTACTTGCTACCATAGTGCCCAAGTTTTACACATATATATTGACATCTTAAAAAGATGACCGAATTATCACTGAAAATAAATAAAAACAGGAAGTTTCTGTTAAATTTCAGATTTCAATCATGATGTACATGTCATCTCACAACCTGACCGACTGACTCGTAGGCTTCACAAGAAAGCAATTATCCCCCAAAAATCCACCCTTATATATAGCAATCAAGATTCGATGTATTAGTTTAATTTTAAAATAGTCGCATTTAGGTTATTACTATGTGTTCTAGGAAACTCTTGATGCCTACATCACTCTAAATCGTGATCTGTTTCAGCTTTCTGAGGCATTGAAATGCTTGTAAGAAACCATGGCCAACATGAATCTAAAAGAGTTATCCTTATCACTAGATTGGACTTAAAACACTTCTGCATCATTTAACATCTTGATTTCTCTATGTATGGCTGAAACCTTTGATATAAAGACTAGTATATACTCTATTTACATGAATGGTAACAGGTGAAAAATTTGTGTGTGTGAATACTGTCCTAACTATTATCACTTTCTTTCTTTCATTTTTTGTTTTGAAATTATTATACACTCTATATATCAGTAATGTGAAAATAAAACTGTTCTTAGAACTGTTTAACAATATATATCTTTCTTAAGTTCTTCTATACAATCAGAAATTCAGGCTGTTTTTTAACAGGCTGTTTCTATCGCACAGTATAAAAAAATATTCACAGACATTGAGATTTTCATGAGACAAAAATCGGTGGGAGATTGGCATGAGCTTAAATGTGTTCTTTTTTTATAGATATATATATACATATACGTGTATATACATATATATGTATTTTTGGTAGGCAAAAAATGCCGAGCTGACAAAAGAATGCCTGTGTATATACATATATATATGACAGATTAAGATGAAGCCATTGTAGTAGTAGTAGTAGTAGACATTGCATCAAATCGCTTCTACTGTCATTTATTGCCAATCACTAATGACGTTATCGAAAGAAGTTAACATATCTCATTATCTGTTCATTGGAAAGAGAGATACTGTTTCGGTGTGTTATAGATTTTCTGCATTACAGATATATGATGAGATGTTCTTTTTTGTGAAAGTTAAGCGGATGTTTGTGTAGTTATGCTGAAAAAAACTGTAAAAAACACAGGCAATATTCACCTATATATATATATATACATATATATATATACATATATGTATATATATATACGTCTACATACACACGGGCTAGTTCATATCCTTTCAGACTGTCAAAATTCACGCTGTCTCATCACACGAAGAAAACTGTATCTGTGCTACTGAATGCCCGCGTGCTCGATACCGTGACAACATACTGAAATGGTTGGAAGGCAAACTTCTAAGTATTATTATTGGCCTTTTATAGTATCACACAAATACTCTATATACGTTATTTCAGTGGTTAAATAAATTTCTGCAATTTATTTTAACACTACCATACCAAAACTGATTGGTGCCTGGTGTTGGTAATTAATACCTCAACTGATCAGCGGTCAGCATATTTTTAAGCCTAAAGAGATATACTGATTGAAAAAGATTAGAGTATAAATTATTATTGGATCTTAATTCAGTCGATCTGAATTCACCTGTATTCAAAAGATTGGTTACTGAACAAAGAATATTCTTTTCGATAACCTGCTCCTCATCACCAGTTTCCACGGTTACATAAAGGTCTGCAACCTGTTGGAAATAATTACATCACTTATGAAGAATTCACACAAGTCCATTTTATACTAAAACCTGCGCTGAAAGGGATGTTGTCAAGAAGGACGACGAAGGCTTCGTAATTAAATCAACCAGCTCAGAGAACACACAACTAATTCACCAACTGAATATTATTTCCAACACAGTAGTGTTATTTTTTATAAGATTCTTATGTCTGTATTCTAACTTTGTTTTTTCCTAGTTGAAGTCGCCGTCAAAGTGATAGACAGAACAAAATTTGATGAAAAGACCAGACGATTACTTTCACAAGAATTGACCAATATGGAACGCTTATTACATCCGCATATAATACGTGTGTATGAAGTACACGAAGTTCTACAACGTTGGCATTTAGTAATGGAATATGCTCCTAAAGGTGAACTCAATTCACACTTGAAAAGATCTGGTCGACTGGATGAAAAAACCGCCAGGAATTATTCATCACAGATACTTTCAGCTCTTGAACATATGGTAAGTTGTGCTGAGTGGTTTTCCTCTCTTTTTTACTTTAAAAAGGCATGTGTGTAATGAATTTTATAATACTAAATAAATTATCCTAATAACTGGTTTCTAAAATAAGAAGGTTGATGGGAAGATAGTAATAGACAGAGACTTTTCATAACTGACACGTTATAAAACGAGTCAAGTCATTATCCTATTCACATGAAGATATTTTTTTAACTGTAGTTGAGTTCAACTCGTTACAGGAACAAAAAAAAAACAAGAAAAAACTGAATTAAGTTAAAGAAAACATGGGACCAAGGTTAAGGCGAAAGATTATGGACTCCGATAAGCAAATCTTTCTGAACACACAATTGATTTCTCAAACGTTTGACAGCGATCGCTTCAGTAAATTTGAGGAGAGTTGAGTCATGTTGTCTATTAATAGTTATGAAGGATTTTATGGAGCTCAACTCCTCAATTTTATCAACAAGATTTCCGATAGTAGTGTAACAACAGAAGACAACGGCCAGACAACAGATCGTTTATTAAGGAAATCAACACATATTTATATATTTTCATGTCCATTATAATAGTTTAGTTAAGCAAACAACAGTCTTCTGATCGGTTGTTTCTCACTTAAAGTTAATCTTTCATCTCCTTGTGACTGTTTCTTAAATATCAGATCATCTATATGTTAACTGTATCCGCCTACGCAAAGTCTGCTGTGGTCGGTTTTGAATCAGTCTTTGTTCATATTTTCTCACGACAAATCTTGAGAATGTAAACATTGACGTAAATTACTGTCTACCAATTTGGCTAATAGACAGCTCTCACCACAGTAGTACTATTCAAAACATTTTTTCACTTGAGACGTAACAACTTTTTTAGTACATGTTCAAAGAATCTAAGATAAATGGTGCAATTAAAGGTTGATAGATACCCTTCCCATGTTAACGCTAATTGTGTTTACAAATTCAGTCTGCACCAAAGAAAGGACTAGACACATCACACTAGTTACTAGTGTCCAATCAAAGCATCCAATACAGTCTTACAGGAGGTCAGTCGCGAGCCCGAATAGCTACTCAGAGGTAACATCTGTGACTGTAGCACTGGATGACGTGGGTTCGAATCTCAGAAGGGACATGAGTTCCTTCAAGGTTTCAGATACGCCTTGCTGACTGGTGAGTGCCAACTAGCACGAAACCTAGGTCAGGCTAGGCTTCCTGCCGATTGCCTTCAACCATCTAATATCATCAAATCAATGTGCAGCGTGATGGCGAGCTACCTAGAATGGTGGCCACATTGCAAACCTGACTGATAGAATTCAGTCTGTACCAAAGAAAGTACTAGACACATCACACTAGTCACTAGTGTTCAATCAAAATAGTTTACAGATTTACACTGTATCTGAGGTAGCAGTTACACTGGAAGAACAGAAAGAAAGGTATGCCTTAGATTCTCTGAACATACTACACCAAAAAGCTTACGTCTCAGGGGAACAACTGCTTTGAAGAGTGTTATTAATAAACAGTATAAGCGTACTCTCCTCACATTTGCCGAAGCGATCGCTACCAAAGGTTTAAAACCTGAAAGAAAGATCTTATTTGATTACATAATTTTCTGCTTAACCAAACCACCCACCCCTGTAATTTCTCCTTTATCGTAATTTAGTCTGTTCTGCTTTTGTTCCTATGACTTGAGTTGAACTCACCACCTTATTACTTAATAATAAATAAGACTGAGTGATTAATGCGCATTATTTTACTGGTTTAAAGATTTTAATGTTCTAAGTATACTTTAAATAATGAAACAATAAAATGCAGCCATCCATACGTGTATTGTTTGAATTCACTTACCCGGCATATATCTTCAGAGGACCAAACTAAGAGATAAACGCAGCGGGATTCTAGCCCATTACATGTTGGCTGCATACAGGGCTCTTAAGCTAATCAACATCAAATTCCTGCTTCATCTGCGTATATATGTATTTATTTTTTAAGCCACAGTTATCAGGTGTAAGCTAGTGATGCTACTTAGTTTAAACAGAGTTTGAAAGTTTGAGCCTTATTCAAACCTCATTAAGAGTTAATGAAAACAGGGATTTATCTGAGTAAATCTAAGCAAATAGTGCATTCTCTACGCCTGAAAGTTAAATTTATCTTTTCACTGAACAAATCTTTATGTTCCATATTAATTTGTTTATTAGATGTATCATACAGTGAGTCAAACAGCAGTATTATTTACTCGATGACAATGTTTCGAACAAAATTTATTCTTCATAATCATTTCATCAGTTATAATCACACTTCGAAATTTGAGTTTTATAGTTTTCTCTGTTCTCTCCTATTTGTCGTCGTTGGGGTAGTAGAATTTTCCAGATATCCGGCTGGACAGGTGTTGAATCATTTCTATTACACGTATTCTCTCTCAGTTGATTCGATAAACAAAGCTTCTGTTATCATTCTTTCCCACTTGACACCCTGTTACATTAGATTTTGAAACTGTCATCTTATCCCATCCATCCTATTGTATGGTTGTGTGTAATTGCATATAGTGAGTGGTATAGCTGAACTATTCTCTAGATTTCTTATCGTATTCGGGTCAACTAATCTAGATTTTGCTGCTTGGTTTCTGTGCTCCGCTAGTATGACTGACAGACTGCCCCTGTTCTACTAGTTTGACCTATGCATTTGACGTGACAATCATTCCTGCAGGGTATTACGTAAACTAAATTGTTTTGTTGTAAAGGCTCCACAGCATTGATCCTTTAACCGACAAAGCTTGTTTCTAACTGAGTTTGTGGGTAATTGAATGCCAGCCACTTTTATTCCTGCCTTGTTGAGAATTCTGCGTGAGGTTTCCGAGGTTCCTTCCTTGTATGGAATTACTACTGATGATTTAGATTCCTTATTGTTGGTGTTGTCTTTCGCATATAAAAGAAGACTTGAAACTAGATATAATAGAGAAGATTTGTAGCTCAGGTGGATGATTTGGTGTGGTTGTGTTCTCTGAGCTGGGTGGTTTGGTTGCGACCATCCAGACTTGAAACTTAATAATTACCCTGATAGATTAATCAGAAAGTATTTAGGGAAATGTAAAGTAAATAAAGATAGTAGTGATAGTGATGATAATAATAATAATGACAACATACATGTCGAAAATGCGCGAGACAGCACCAACAATAAGGAATCTAAATCATCAGTAGTAATTCCATACCGGGAAGGAGCCTCGGAAACCTTACGCAGAATTCGTCACAAGGTAGGAATAAAGGTAGCTGGCACTCAATTACCTAAAAAATCAACTAGAAACAAGCTTTGTCGGTTAAGGGATGAATCCTGTGGAGCCCTTAAAACAAAACAATTTAATTTTCTAATACCCTGCCTGCAATGATTGTCAGGTCAAATACATAGGTCAAACTAGTAGAACAGGGGCAGTCAGACTAGCCGAACATAAAAACCTAGCAAAATCTAGATTAGTTGACCCGAATAAGATAAGAAATCTAGAGAATAGTTCAGCTATATCAATGACTACATGGCATTACGGTTTTAAAATCTAATGTCACAGGGTGGCGAGTGGGGAAGATTGATAACAGAAGCTTTGTTTATCGAATCAACTGAGAGAGAATACGTGTAATAGGAATGATTCAACACCTGTCCCAGATATCTAGAAAATTCTACTACCCCAATAACAACAAATAGGAGAGAGATGGAACAGAGAAAACTATAAAACTCAAGTTTCAAAGTCGTGTGATTATAACTGATGAAATGATTATGAACAATAAGTGAATTGTGTTCGAAACATTGTCATCTAGTTAATAATAATACTGTTTCACTCACTGTGTGGTGGTATATCTAATAAACAAACTAATATGGAATTACTTACTACCAACACAGTGCTCAAGTTTTACACATAATTATTAAACCATTAGTGTTATCTTCGATCATATGCATTCCTTCTTGATCATCAATTTTCCACAATATCCAATAATGAATGTCGTCTACTTAGTCTACTATCTTGAGTATTTTTATTTTAAAAACCATCTATTGATTTAACGAAATAACGATTGGCTTCAAAAAAAAAACTGTTCCATCAATCATACTCACCATGATTGTCATTCCTATCCAATGGATATTTTTTTTAATTTTTAGTAGACTACGAATATAATATCATAAGAAAGTGTTAATACTTCATACTTCGTGTGAGTGAAATGCCAGTTTGTAGTAGTTGACACCAGCCATGATCGACCATTGAATGTTTTTGGTTTTCACTCTTTTGCATCCAATAGCCTACTCAGACTAAAAAAAAAATTCAGATCACTTAAATTCCTCAAGAAATAGCTTCATTTTTAATCAAAAAATGTTTACAGCTTTCTTTTTATCTAATTATTGGGTAGTATAAAAAAACTGTCTTAGTGATTTTATCCCCAATTACTAAATCTGCTATTGAGACTGTACTGAGTGGCACTTACTGTTATACTTGTAAGTGGTAGATACACTTATTAATCATTAAAGCAACATACCACTTATATATTTGTATATAATTACCTTGTTAGTCACAACACAAACTGACTGTAACGATTACCATGGTTGACTTAGGGTAAAGAAAGAGGGGCTGTTAAAGACTTACTGACTCCTCATTGTATGCTGTATCTCTACTCGGTAAATTATCGACACACATATGGAACCGATAAGAGATGGTCAAGGCAGCCTAATTACCAAAGGGGAAAAGAACAAGAAAAGAACAAGCTAATCACTGTAAAGGACTTTTGAATCAACCACCATATGCCAGTGAACACCAGTCCCCCCCATCCCCAACAAGATGATACGTCCTAAATTTCATCGAGCCTCTGAAATTAAGACGGGAGGGAAGTAGAACCAGACGGAATTCCTCCTGAAGCAGTGAAAAATGATCCAGACACTACAGAGGATATGTTGTAAAACGTTAAAGAAGAAAAGAAGGTACCTACTGACTGGAAGAAAGCCTACCTTATCAAGCTATCAAAAAAGGGCAACTTGTGTCTCTGCAAG